TTATGATCACTGAGTATCCACGGAAGTTTGTAGAAGAGTCATATGAGTAAAATTTGAAAGAAGTTTAATTTTGTATAATTATAGTTGATACGGGTGGAGGAGATTTGGTGATGTCATCAAAAGGGTAAGGGTAGTATGAAAGGTCTTGAAAGGAGGAAGGTGGTGATGATATAATGTGAGATGCGGTTTCTTGTAAATGTCTGTGTCACAGAACAGAGAAGATGAAGGGGAAGGCAGGGAAAGTCCCCTGAAATGACCCTAAAAGAACTGCCCACAGTAGGCACTTGGAGTGCAGGGATTCACGAGTTGATAAACCCAGGTTGGCTTGGCAGTCAGCATCTGATTGGAAATTTATAAAAGTGATTATTAATGATGAGCTGGCATTCAGGAAGGTACTGGGCTGAGGAAGCAGAATTCAGGGTACTAAGATGACAGACAGAGCTGGAGGATTTATGGCATGCTGAGGCAGGAGTTCTGAGGAAGAGGAGTTCTGAGGAGGAGGGAGGGGAAGAGGAGGAGGAGAAGGAGAAGGAGAAGGAGGAGAGATAGTACAGTGGAGGACTTCTCTACAGCCTGATACCAGTTTAGATAATGTTCCCCATGGGTAGCAGTTCTGCCACAGGGTGGGAGAAGGGTCACAGAGGGCGAGATGTCACAGTTGAGGTGTCACAGTGAGGGTGAAGGGTCACAGAGGGTGGGATGTCACAGTTGACGTGTCACAGTGAGGGTGAAGGGTCACAGAGGGTGGGATGTCACAGTTGAGGTGTCACAGTGAGGGTGAAGGGTCACAAAGAGCAAGGTGACACAGTGAGAGGGTGTCACAGTGAGAGTGAAGGGTCACAGAGGGTGGGATGTCACAGTTGAGGTGTCACAGATAGGATGAAGTGTTACAGTGAGGGTGTCACAGTGAGGGTGAAGGGTCACAAAGAGCAAGGTGACACAGTGAGAGAGAAGAGTCATACAGTGGGGGGTGAAGGGTCACAGAGAGTGGGATGTCACTAAGGAAAGGGTGTCATAGTGAGGGTGAAGAGTCACAGAGGGCAGAGTGTCAAGTGAGGGTGTCACAATTAGGGTGAAGGGTCACAAAAGGGAGGGTGACACAGTAAGGGAGAAGGGTAACAGAGGGATGTGGGTGTCACATTGAGAGTGAAGGTCACAGAGGATGGGGGTGTCACAGTGAGAATGATGGATCACAGAAGGTGGGGTGTCACAGTGAGGGTGAAGGGTCACAGAGGGTTGGGGTGAGCACTGAGGGTGATGGGTCACAGATGGTGGGGTGTCACAATTGGGATGTTGCAGTTAGGGTGAAGGGTCACAGAGAGTGGGGTGAACACTGAGGGTGAAGGGTCTTAGTAGGTGGAGTGTCACAGTCAGGATGAAGGACTAGTAAGCTCGTTTAAACAAGCTTAGAGGATGAGAGGGTCATGGTATGCTCAGCTAGGTGAAGGGCTAGGGAATCCATGGAGTGATGACTTCTGACTGTGCATTATTACATTGTCTGAGGGGAGGTGACTTGCTCTGTGTAACTGATTTTCAAGGGAGTCTTCGGAAACAGAACTGTACACTTAGAATCATTGAAGTCAGGTGAGATCCATGAGGAGTTGACTGATAAAAGCAAAGAAGACAAGAACAGAAGTTTGGAGTTAGGAACTAGGACATATTTCTTAGACAGGACATGTCACAGATGCTCTGGAAAGGAGGTTTCAGAAGGAAGAAGAAACAGTGTGAAATGAGGCTGACAGGAGAAGGAAGGTGTGAACTGCCAAAGGCTATTGGATTAAGGCTCCAATGATTGAGGTGATCGGGGGCTGAAGTTCGACTGAAACAGAGAGAAAGACTATGAAGAGGGCCTCCGGGTCAGCCCCATCCTTGTGGAACAGTCACCCTGATTGGCTGAGCTGCATTTTGGGTGTTCAGCCAGCCATCATTGCGTTTCCTCTCTGACTGAGAATTTTTCTTTAGTCTTTGTCTGTTGAGTCTCTAAGCTTTGTGCCTCCATATCCAACTTCAGAATGCTCCAGATATGAAACTGTTCCAGAGATTTCAGTCTATTGAAAGCTGGGTTCTGTATCTGTGAATTTGATGGGAAATGATACCAAGTCATTGTGTGAAACCTCTACTTAGATGTTTGATTTGGGGAACAATTGCTTTTGGAGCTATGTCCTACTGCAACGACACTGTCCTGTTGACCTGGTCTGCTGCTTCAGTGTGACTTAAGACTGCAGCCTGGCCCTATTATTTGTGTTTATCTTTTAGTACGTAAGAAAAGATTTGGGGCTAAGAGATTCTCTGATAGTGCCTGTCTTTATATCCTTGTATCCTGGAGGAATTTGGCTACTGGAAGAACAAATTTGCTCTCTTACTGGTAAAGGAATTTTTTGTTTTTTTAGTATTTTTTGTTTTCTTTTATGAGAGAATGTCACTCTATAACCCAGGCTGTCCTTGAATTTGTCTCTTGCCTCTGCCTCCAGAATGCTGGGATTATAGGCATGTGCCACTGTGCTCAGTCCCATAAAAGTTTTGTTCCTAAAATTCCTTTGCCTTTTGGTTGTAAGAACACGTTTGCCCTTCAGCTTGTGGCTAAAGTTATAGACCCCGGCAAAGACCCAAGACTCGAGCAGCATGGACTTAACTGTGCACCCCAGTCTTCATTTCTGTTCTTACTGAAGGAGACCAATTCAGGATATCAAGAATACGATTGATTCTTGCCACTTCTCCATAAGTCTTGGTTTCCCTGGAGGACATGATGTTAAGTGAAATAAGTCAGACTCGAAAAGCCAAACACATATTATGAGGAACCTAAAATGATCTCAAATAAATTGAAAATTGAATGTTGATTTCCAAAGGCTAGAACAGGGCATATGCATAGGACAGAGAGAGGCTAGTTAAGGGTGAAGGGTGCAGTTAGATAGGAGGGACACATTTTGGTGGGGTGCAGAATAATGAACCTAGGGCTTTACCCATCCCAAGTACATATTGTACCACTAAACTGTGATGTAACCCAGGAGAAATACATGAGAACGTTCTATAGGACAGAAGGATAATTCTGGGGGGGAAATTACTTAAAAATTCCAAAATACCCAGCAAAAATGATTTTGAATGTTCCCCACACAAAGAACGGATGTGTGTCTGAGGTAGTAGATATGTCAGCTCCCTTGAGCTGATCCCTGCACATTGTATGCATGTGTTGAAAGCCACACTGACCCTCAAATATGTGTGCAGGTAATGTGTTAATTAATATGTCAAAATAATTCAATAAACTAAAAGGTAACTTTAAAAATAATACTATTGGGTCCTTTTTACTACCCAATGTGGGTATAGTTGCAGCCAGAGGCAGATGCTGCCTTGAGCACGTGGAGGGAAAATACAGTGCTGGAATTCTTTGGGATACTGAACAGCAGCTGAGCTTTCCACGGGGTGCAGAGGGCCACAAGGGCAGTGCTTAGAGTTCTCCTGCACAATAGACAGACAGCCTCTTTCCCAAGGCCAAGGATGAGCTGTCAGTGACACTGGAGGATGAGGACCCTAACCTTTTATAATTCTTTTAATTTTCAGAATACTCTTTAAGATTGAGTAGCAGCTACATTTTTACAGAAAACCCAGCTGAGGCTTTGCCGATTAAGGCAACAATGGGTTACACTGCAGACACAGTAGCCTTGCTGGGGCCTGAACTTGACAATCTGGGTCAGAATTTCTACCTGGGTACCAAACCTCTTTTTACAGGGGCAAGAGTAGACCTTGTTTATGTTCTACTAGCTTTTTAAAAAAATATTTTGTTTGTTATTTTTATTTTATGTATATGAGTGTTATACCTGCATGTAGGTAAGTGCACCTGTGTCATGCAATGCCCACAGAGGACAGAAGAGGCTGTTGGATCCCCTGGAACTGGAGTTATGGACAGTTGTTAGTTGCCATGTGGGTGCTGGGATTTGAACCCAGGTCTTCTGCAAGAACAGTCAATGTTCTTAACCTCTGAGCCATCTCTCCACCCCCCAATAGCTTTTTGATGGGTGTATTTGAAAAATCTATAACCTTGCATTGTACTTGTCTCGTTTCTCTTCCTCTCTTCTCCTGTCTGGGTTTTTCCTCTGGTTGGCACACCCTCCCTTTCCTCCTCCCCCAGGACAGTGTCTGCTTGTATGTCCTCACTGCATTCCTTTGTTGGGGGGTGCACAGCTGTGGTCAGCCGCCAGTTGACACCACAGCACATGGTGCCAGGATCTCATTGCTCTGGTGTATCTGGCTCAAGCTGCTGCACAAGTGGCATTTACTGGAGCTGCAGTTGAGTTAAGGTGATGCCTCTGCAGGAACAATTTTGCAACCTTCCAGATCCCATTTGCCACATGTTCTCATAAAAATAGCATGAATCAAGGGCTAGAGAGATGGCTCAGAGGTTAAGAGCATGTAATGCTCTTGCTAAAGACACAAGTTGGGATCTCAGCATCCATTGGGTTGCTCATAACCACCTGTAACTCCAGCTCCAGAGGATCCAATGCCTCTGACCACTGGGTACCAGCACTTACGTATACATAGACACACACACACACACACACACACACACACACACACCTAATTTAAAAGTAAAATGAATCTTTAAAATATCTTGAATCAAAGTTTGTTTGCATAATACCAAAGGCCTCTTGCCTGACTCATGAACAGCTTGAAGAACTCGCTGCACCTTGACCTCACAGGCTTCCATTGCCTGTACAACATCTTTGAACACAGTGATGTTTCATCTTGATTTTAATGAGACAAATTTAAATATAGTGCATATGTAGTGAAGTTAATAATGCTATGTATAGAACAAGTACCATAGGGTAATAAATTATGAATAAATTTGGTAGAAACACTTAGTAGTTTGTTATCTTCAGAAAAGTAAGAGACTCATTGACAACTAGCAAATGAAAGTTTTCCTTGCTCATATTTTTTAAAGTTAGTTTCTTTTTTTCTGTTTAAAATGATGAAATGAAACTAATGGTATTTCCTTTTTTTATTTGCAGAAAAAACCACTGTCTGCCATAATAAAGGAAGTGTGTGATGGGTAAGTGTTGCTCAGAATTCAGACGTTCTTTAGGCTATTATTGGTAGGCAAATAAAATATTTATAGCATTATAAGTAAATACTAATCATAAATAATATTCATAACTCAACACTGGACCTCTCCAAAGTCACCAATAAGTGTTGGGTAGGAGTCGCACACTCTTTGCACCAAAGTCTTATCATTGTTCCTCAAAGAGAAGAAAGTGTGAAGTGACTGGATGCTCTGCACAGTGGGTTTGCTTTTTATTTGTTTGGGGAAATTGTATTCCTTGAGCAGTCTACAGGTTCCCGGGGCTGAGCACACACCCCATCACTCAGATGCCAGAAAAGACCTGGGCTTCACACCCATGTGCTTCATCCTTCTCTGGCTGTTCCAACAGTCCAAGGAAAAACACGGATCGAAATTGCGTGAGCTGTGTTGACTAGTGAAGTAAAGCTGTGACTCCAGTATATTACTGGGAATTTGCATAAGGCATGGAATATTTAATTGGAGTGTTCCAATCTGCATTAAGTATACTGATCAAATGTAGAATTCAGAGAATTGGAGTGTGTTAAATTGCCAAAAATTTAAATTGGATTAATTTCCTTCTCTGTGCTTCAATCCTTCAAAATAAGGAAGAATGTTGAGATTTAAAATGACTCCTCCCTGCTGGTCTTGAAGATTAAATGCTGAAAGTAGGCTTGGAATAAGCTAGATAATCCACATGTGAAATGCCTGGGGTCAGGGTAGTGACAGTGGGCGAATGCTGTTTTGTTCGGGGAGCTGCATTATGAAATATGTTGTACTGGCCCAACTCTAATCCTGGAGAGTTTAATTCACTTAGTCCTGTAACACTAATAAATGGAAATGGCCACTTTAGTGTTTCTCATTTTTCTTTATGCTTATGTTTTAGGTGGTCTCTTGACAACCATGAATATTTTGCACTGCAGCACGCTGATAGTTCAAACTTCTACATCACAGAAAAGGTAGGTTTGCTACACTATTTAATCTGGAACATTCATATTGAAAAGAGATAAATCAGGATTAATATTTATTCTGTTTAGGACTAAACATTCTAGTCTAAGTTTTTGTGTGTTTATCAATAGGGTTTTAAAACAAAAACCTGCTACTTTAGCATCAAAAAGATGATATTTAGCACATTCAAATGTAAAGTCTAAATATGTTTCTGAGTCCAGTTTAGCAAACATCATCATTTTAAAAATTATATTTATTTGCATGTGGATGTATGACCCATGAGCCACGGCACAACATACTGAGGTCAGAGGACAACATGTGGGAGTTGGTTCGCTCCTTCTACCCTATGGGTCCTGGGGATTAAACTCAGGCTGTCAAGCTTGGTGGCAAGCGCCTGTACCCACTGAGCCATCTTGCCTCCACATTTGTTTTCAAATAGTAAATACTTTAATTATTTCTTTTGTTGCTTGGCTGAAGATATTGATATTTACTTAGTTTAATTATCTTTTCTCAAACACTTTCCTCCTCCCTCGCTTTGTTTTTGTTTTTGCTGAAAGTACTTATAAAAAGAACAAGAAAGTTTTTGAAGTGTGACATATAGACAGCGAGAGTCTTTCTTCTTGGGTGATTTTAACAAGTTTGGATGAAAAGTGGAGATTTGTGAAAACTATGAGTGACCCTGAAAGAAAGAAAAATTATTATTTAAAAAAAGCTTTCCAAGGGGCTGGAGAGATGGCTCAGCAGTTAAGAACACTGGTTGTTCTTGCAGAAGACCCGGGTTCGAATCCCAGCATCCACATGGCAGGTAACAACTGTCTGTAACTCCAGTCCCAGGGGATCCAACAGCCTCTTCTGACCTCTGCAGATATTGCACAACACGAGTGCATTTACTTACATGCAGCCAATACACGTATGCATATAAAATAAAAATAATAAATAAAATTTAAAAAAAAAGTTTTCTGATAATGGAAGGTAAACTAGTGTTTATTGAGCACCTATTGTGCATGATTAGCTGAGCCAGGCAAATTGCACCTGTTTGTTCATTTTTCCCTAATACTAAACTCTGATCTCATAATATCACCCTTGGTTAACAGATTAAAAAAAAAAAAAAAATCCAAACCACTGATATCAAGTGGGTAGATCATGATCAAATACTTCACTCTAGAACCGAGAAGCAAGTTTAGATTTTTGTGCTTCTAGAGTATTTGTGTTCTAAAGTTTCTGAACCATTTGGAAAGTTCAGAAACAGTTGGGCATTCCACTCAACTTCTGGGAGAACTTGCTGAAGTATAGACAAGCGTCACTGTCCTCAGGGATGGAAACCTTGTGGACCAATGGGCAGGGAGGGAAGAGCCTACCCAGCTCCTGACATTACAACCAGGTGACTGGTGCTAGAACCAAGTGAATACAAGGTGCTCTGAAGGAGGGAGAGTTGGGTGACTTCAGGCTCTAGTATGTGGTAGACTTCATTTGTCCCAGTCAGCAGTCCCTTGGGTGGCCATAGTAATGCCATTGTGAATCAAGTGATGGTGGAGGAAGAAACAGTAGAATATGCTTATGCTCCTTTTCATTCCCTGCAGAGGGTGCCTCATCCTGTTATCAGGAGAGCTGTAGCCTGAGGTCTGGGAATGTCTTCAGAAATTGCTTTGTCCTTCCCAGGTGGACATTGGGCCTCTCATGACTCATCAGGTTTCCTTTTTACATTGATGGCTAAAGATGGAGAGGTGGCTAGTAGATTAGGTTTCCTGGCAGGTGTGGGTTGCCTTTAAGTATGCTTTTCATTTCTATGATTTAGTCCATAAATACTTAGTTTTCATTTTATTTTCTTAATATTTTTTATTTATTTTATGCTGAACCTGTGTAATCTGCATGCTATTTGTGAGATCATGGGGGTATAAATAAATAAAAGTTAAATGTTAGCAGTTAAATGTATTACTGTGATTTCATTCAGCCATGGAGAGGAAATCAATTCAGCTGGTTGCAGCAACATTACAGTGAGTGTGGAACAAAGAAGCTCAGAGTCTGCCCCCTGTAGTGTCTGTGAAATGTTTGTCTCATACGCTCACATGCAATGCATATAGATTGTGCTGATCCTTCAGCTTGGGTTGTAGTGAGCAAGTCACTGGTTCACAAATAGCCCTGCCTTTGAGTAAGGCATACTAACTTGTGTCCACCAGTAGCTGTCACATCCCCTGTCAACACTGGCTGAAGGTCTTAATATTTTGGCAGTTTTACATACAGATTACAGGGAGAACCATTTACAAATGCAGATTTCCCAGTTTCAACTACAGAGACTGACTCAGCGAGCATCTGGTGATCCTGGCAGCTTCCGTTTTAAGGAACCCTCCTGGGAATTGGACATAGCAAACCTAAGAATTCCTCAAAGATCCCTGGTCCATGGACGAGTCTCTTTTCCAAAGGGCAGGACCTTTGCATATGGAACAAGGTGCACTCTGACCAGAAGTTGTCACAACATTTGATTAAGGAGGTTATGTTTGCACTGCCATTTCTGAAAATGATTTTAAAAAGATATGAATAGCATCATATAACATTGCTTCATCTTTTTCTAATTAAAATTCATCTACACTAAGAAAATCCAAACTACTGAAAACAGAAGGTCATTTATTATTTTTGGAGGCATTGTAATCATTTGGGGGGCGGAATCTTGTTTGTCTAAGAAATTCTTACATTAGGGTTTCAAAGGAACTGTCCTATTCAATCTGCCATCAGGTCTTCTGCACACAGTCACGGAGATTAGTGGTTTAAGAGTTTAGGGAGTGAGAAGATTCATCTTCCCAATCATAGCTTTTTGTTTGTAAATAAAATGTCACCACTCTTCTTCACTCTTACTGGGCACAGTTGTGTGTGCCTGTCTGAAGCACAAAGTTGGACATGCACAGGACAGGAGACCACAGTGCATCTTGACCCCTACCCTCAGTCTGCATCTAAGTTTTTGCAAATGAGCTCTCTCCAAAAATAGACCCTTTTTCATTCTTCAAATAGCACAGTTAGCATCCTCTTGGTTACTTACAGCCCAGTGAGTTGTTAGGTAATATTTGCATCACCATGGTAACCAGTGACTAATTTTTGAAGCTTGTACATGCCATTAGTTTCTGACTTTCACTTGGATATGAAATGGTTTCCCCATCTCTTCAGGTAATAAAAATTACCTAGAATTTCAAAGGGGAAATATTCTCTAGGCCTGGTCCAACATGGCCACAGGTGGCTTGGCTGAGAGATGTTTCTATTTCTTTTTGAAGATCCTCAGGAAGGAGCCTCTCCTCCTGCCTACTTTTCACAAGGTATCAGAACCCATTTTCCAAAAGAGTTCTCATTTGCTTATTGGGCCATTAACTGATTTTTCAGTGTAATGGGGAAGATGTCATATAAAGTAGCATTTGCAGAAGTGTAGCATGCAAAAGTCATAGAAGATACTAAGATGCAGCTATTTGCAAGTTCAAATTTTGCCCCAGAAAGATATATTTTAGGGTGATGGGTATGTGTATGTGCGTGATCATGTGTTTTGGTGCAATTTTTCTTTTGAAGTTTAGTGAGAAGCATTCAGCCTTTCAGATATTACCCTCACTTCGGTCTAACAATGTAGGTATCTTCCTTTTAATAGGGAAGTAAGACAAGAGAAGTTACAGACCATACACACCAGAAGTGGCCAAGCTGAGGCTTGGGCCCTGGAAACTCTGATTCCAAAGTTGTGTGAAGCCTGTCTGTTTTGCTGTCTGGGCCCCTGTGTGCTGACGATATGCTTTCTTTGCTGATGTCTGGCCATTGATCCTAACTGCAGTCACCTCAGGAGTCACAGGCCAATGGCACTTGTTAGTTACCAGTGTCAGTCTGTGGCTTCCTTAAACTGGTGAATTGGGGAAGTTATGTCAGGTAATACTCCACTCACCAGGGACATACAGACTTTTTAACTGCCTTTGCTCTGGGTTATGGGGACTGTTAAGGAGAGGTAGTATGATTGCATTAATAGCATTTTTAAGGCAAATGGGAAATTGCCTTTTTCTCCTTAATACTAAGTGTGCAGAGAGAGGGTCCCCCTCAAACTACAGGCTCAGTGGAGGAAGCATTCTGCAATGTGTACTTGTGGGTAACCGAGGTTTTGCTGTGATTTTAGAATGGCATTTGGCTTCTCTCTACTTAGACCTACCTGGTTCTGTATGAAGCAGAGTGATAGATTAGCATAAAGCCAATAAATTCTTTATCTTATATACACTGCGTTAAGCTAGTGGTCTTGTGTAGGTCTTGTCTGCCAAGCTGCGGGAGGAGCCTTTGGGAGAAAGTGCTGTTGGCTATGTGATATGTCTTTTTGCTCTCCCTTTTCCCCAAATGCTCTAGGCTCTCAGCCCATGAACTTTCTAGAGTCCCTGACAGACATCACTGTATGTCTCCTGGGATGGGGCGTCCCGCTTTAGGTGGATGTTATCCAGAATTTAGTTCAGCTGTCATGCATCGGTCATAAGTCAACAGAGTGAAACCGGTGTCCAGAAAGCTCTGAGGCTCAGTGATAAGCAGAGAGGAAGACCTGTGAGGGAATCAGTCACAAAGATGGACAGCAAAGCTTCCTCTTCTGATTTCCCTCTCAGGTTTCTGTTTCCCATGTTTGCATCCTTGTCAGAGGACCTGCTGAGGCCAGTCAGTTCCTCCCCGTGACTGTGTTGACCTTCGTGACTTTCAGGTGAAGAACCTTCACTAGGACAAGCATTTTAACTTGCCTGAACCCAAGCTCAGGGAGGTTATAAATTTCTAGCCCAGCAAGATTCTCTTTTGAGATTTGGGATTCTTTTGGTAGGAAGTCCTCTGTTACTTCCTTAGCAGCAAGCTACACACTTTGGCCAGGTGTAATCGGAGCATGCTCACACCTCCTTTCTGGGTCAGTTCCTCTAGGCCCTGCTCTTAACAGGCAGAGGTAAGTGAAGAAAAGGGTTTCTGGCCCTCACGTTGCCTTTAGCCTTCAGCTCTTGAAGGTTTCCCCACTCCAGGAATTTCTCTTGTG